CTTGACTTGGTATTTCTCACCGTGATGCTGTTGCTAGGGACTCCAGCGGAGACTTTGGCGTCAGCCGGCCCTCTGCATCCTGTGCTTGCCTCCTGAGTCGCCGCTCTGCAGAAGTAATTATGTAGCTGCTATGTGGTCGTATGAACTCTTCTCTAATGACCTAAGAAATGACAAAAAATTAAAAATAATGAAAAAACAAATTCGTTTCTAATCGATCGCATCGTTTACTATCAAAGAAAGTTACATTATGTTATGTTAATTTATTAAGCTATGTTTTTCCATCACTTGTTTCCATCACATAATATTAGACTATAGTACATATAATATAATATACATTCTATATCATAATATAGTGACACATATAACATAGAGTCTATATTATGACACTCCTGATTTTATTACTGCAAGCTCAATTGTGCTAACTGCGAAGAGGCGTATGCATATGCACCCTGCGTGCAATACAGTACGTAGGCTTATTAATGACAGTAATGCCCCCCCCCCCCTATCTCTACACCGTAACAACTCCCTCCTCTCTCAATTACCACCCGGCATACCCACAGTCCCATTATAGCTCCTCAGTTCAACGACAACCGATTGATTATGCGTTACGTCATAATTGCTCGGTAATTGCACGCCACTCATCGATTCCGTTGATCGTATTTTGAGATTTTGTGACTGCAATTTTAATTACGACTGCGCCAGCATCGGCATGATTTAAATCGGTTAATTACGGATGTCCAAACATTAATGCCATAATAATGATCGTAAATAACTGCAGCGAGTGAGTTTTATCTTGCCGATTGCACATAATCTAGCCTACATCCAGTTTTTGACAAGCACCACTAAACAAACAGTTCGTTTCGACAGATTTGTGGCCATAGCTCTTGTACGTAATTTAGCCAAGTACAGACATATTTATTCCTTTGCTGAGCGAAACTGGATGTGACGGGTGTATGCAACAGCCAATCGGCTAGACCAACAGCTTATTTAGTTAGTATATGTTTTAGCTAATACATGTAACATCATGCACCCCATTCCACTAATATTCCATCTACAGTAAAGTTTTAGCCTTTATTACCACATTATTATATTATTATTATCATGACATTATTTCAAAGTATGATCATGTAACACAGCGTAGATTAAGGCACAAACCCGTAGGAAACACATAATCCGAATGCAGATATTGCAGCCATAGAATTACGCCACAAAAAAACCATGAATTTTATGATAATTACAATCGACGTTCATCAATGCTAAAACTATGATTCTAGGACAACTACCCCCTGGACAACTACCTACCGGACAACTACCCACCCGGACAACTACCCACCAGGACAATTACCCACCGGACAACTACCCACCAGACAATTACCCACCCGGACAACTACCCACCAGGACAATTACCCACCGGACAACTACCCACCAGACAATTACCCACCCGGACAATTACCCACCCGGACAATTACCCACCAGGACAATTACCCCCCGGACAATTACCCACCAGGACAATTACCCACCTAACCTTCCAATAAGGGAAAAATTCCCCCTTCCGTAAATTTTTGTCCGCTGCAATACATAATGTATGTCTGGAAAAAAGAGAAATGCCTACCCCATGTGTTCAGAGAACAGCGGCGTCGATAATTGGATAGTCGCCCCTACCCCTCCTATAATTTTTCCATTATATCGCAATATGATTAATCGCTAATGATGTATTCAATAAATTCCGAATTTTAACAACCGCTCGAGGGGAGCAGACTGCAATTTCAGGCAATCGATAAATCGAACGCCTATGGTAGGATACGCGAGCGTGAGGATGCACAGATGGACTCAGCATGCGAGCGATTAGGCGCGGGGAGCGACGCTCGCGCGAGTATCGCCAGCACTGTCGCGTAGGCAAAGTGTTACTTAATGTACGGAAAGGTAATTAAGTGGGTGTCGCGTCGCTGCTGTTTCTTGATTTACGCGAGTTTGCATTACGCGAATTTTCAATAGCGCATATCACCTTAATAACAATAAATTTAGTTGAAGAATAACAAGAACAACACTACAAGAATAACGCGACGCGGCGACTGCCAGGCGCGTGGCGAGCACGTAAAATAAATGTGATGTTATTCATTGTATTAAGCGACCCAGAAAATTTCTAGACATGTACGTGTGCATTGGTGGCTGCATGCGCTTCGCTCCCGCTGCTGATGCGCAGGTGAAGGCCGATACTTCACTTGCCGATATGAACTTCAATATCGGGTATCGGAAAATGTCGCAAATAAGTCAAAATATCGGCAGTATATCAGCGAATGTTGAAGTTGAAATTATGAAATCATGAAGTTGGTCCGTTAGATGAATCATCATTACTGTACGGTGTGTGTGTGTGTGGGGGGGGGATAGGGTAATTGTCCAGGGGGTGGGGGTAATTGTCCTGGTGGGTAATTGTCCAGGTGGGTAATTGTACTGGTGGGTAATTGTCCGGGTGGGTAATTGTCCGGGGGGTAGTTGTCCTAGTGGGTAATTGTGCTGGGGGGTAATTGTCCGGGTACGTAAAAGTATACCAATCAATATTTTTTTAAATTAGACGCCACTGCGCCTAACAATGCATGTCAATAAATGTTTTTGTAGCCTCACAATAACCTGTAGTACCAATACTTTATGTAATCATATATTAGTGCATCACAATATCCTCCTATTACATCTGATGGTTTAGGTTAAACCTTTTCCTGTCAAACTAATGTCAGTACATATTTTTTAGTATGATTTTTCTATTTAAACCGGTTTTCCTATCAAAGATGCCTTCCTACGTAACCAATGGACATTATGTACCAACAAATCACATGGCTAACGTTTATTGATGGAATTGGCACGTTTATTTTTACAACCTCCAAACAGTACCTAAACTTTCAGTACTGGTTTCTAATAGGTGCATATATATGTGCAGCAAACGTTTGTTTCTAATCATATAAAAACGTTAAATTATATGGTTAGTGTAACGTTCATGACTAACGTTTGTTAATGCATGGTTACGACAAAGTTTATAAATAACGTTTATTTTCACCACCTCGGAACCTTAGATTAGAAACGTTCAGTATACTATAGTTTGTAATTAATAGGTGTGCAGCTAACGTTTGTTTCTAACCTATATATAACTTTATTTATAA